AAGGTTGAGAGACAGAGATTATATCTATGAGAGATGGGCGAGAATTAGGAAAGTAATGAGTAGGGGAAATCAAAGGGAGAATATGTAAATTGACTGAGGTATTTAAATCTTTTAATGCTTCAGTCCTGGAGTCATTTTTTATTAAACAAGTATTTAGATCACCCATGTAAATTACATGATCGTAGCAGGGAACAAGGTTCTCAAGAATATCTCCTAATTCCTGAAAATAATTAATTTTGTCGCTTGGGCAATACAAAACACCAAGAAGAATTTTTTTGCCGTGAATAACTAATTCCAAAAAAATATATTCAAGAGAGCCTGTTGAGAGTGAGATGGACTGTTTGACAACACAGGCGGGTAAATTGCTGCGCAGATAAATACCCACGCCGCCACCACCCTGACCAGTACGGTCATTCCGAAAAAGCTGATATCCTGGAAGAGAATAACTAGTCGATGGGAGTGAGGGTTTAAGCCAGGTTTCAGACACAAGTATACAATCGACTACGCCGGTACTAAAAGATGCGAGAAGATCTGAATAGTGAGCAGGAATGCTCTGCGCGTTAATATGCACTAGGGTAAGGAATTTAGAATTATGTGGAAATACCTTTGACAGTTTTTGTTCAAGTGTACCTTCATCCGAAATAAACTTATAGAAACCTTAGGTAAAAAAGATTCAAAATTTATATTAAATTGTATAATTTCTTAGATTTTACTCTTCAATTAATGATTTTGCTACTTATATTGATCTACTAACATTGCACGCGGCTCCATCCGCGTTCAGATAACCAAAAACCAAAATCTTAGGTTTTACGTATTAGTATACTCATACAAAGCAGTTTTTGAAATATTTCTCAAAAATAAGACATTTTCCTGTGGTAAAAAGTATCATATATGTTGACCTGGATAATCAGCTATCATCATACCAAATTTCATCAAAATCACTCTAGTGGTTGTTCTGTGATGCGGTATCAGACAGACAGACAGACAGACAGACAGACAGACAAAAATTCTAAAAACTAGATTCGGCCTCTGTATCGATAATAATGTTTATTTTAATAAGATTTTCCAAAAAATATTTAGTTTACAGATTCGGCTTAGTTACAATTTTATTATATGTATAGATTTTGATCAATTTCAAAAAGAATACTGAATTTAAATGTAATAAGTTTCCTAATTGAATGAGCTTTCAAAATACTTTCAACGAACTACCATGAAAAGAAAAATTTATGCTGTTCTCAGTATATTAAGTTTGCGTGTAATAATTAACTTAAACAAGCATGAGTATGTATAGGAAATCAAAGTTTTCCTATATAACGTAAAAGCTTGACTAACTAGTTGAGGTATTTATAAGTTTTCCTATACCTGCAATAAAGCTTTAGGGTTTGCTAACTTTAAAGTAGTTTAACTATAAGTATAAGAGTGAGTATTTAAAGTTCATAGCACGAACAATTTCGTAATTTAAAAAATTGTATGAAATTATTGGAAAAATATACGTATTTTCCCTCAAAATAAAACTTTTTTTTGAGCAGTGCATTTCAAATATCTGCTTATAAAATTTTTGTCGATGCAAATTTAATAAAAGCCTGAGTTTAGAATTTTGTGTGTATGTCTATCTCTATCTTTTACTTCTATTACCTTCTAAAAGAGGCAGATAAGATAAAAAAAGAAGATAAGAGAATATATTCGCGGCCACACTTTCACGTTCCATTACATATAAAACCTAGCATACGTATTTTAATTTTATAAGCTTTTTTCTATATACATATTATATATAATAAACAAAATATGAACTGACAGAAATTGAGAAACTCTAGTGAGTAGAATTAACATAGCGTATTCTATAGACAGTATTAGCTACCTGTATAAAGCTATAAAACGAACTTTGATCGTCATAACACCGGCAATCGGGTGAAAAATCCACAAAATTCCATGAAAAAGATTTTTGCGAAAGAATATTGTATTAAAAATATGATTTTTTATGATTTTTTAATAAACGTTTCAACGATACTGTATCGTACTGTCAAATAACGAGGCTTGCACTCGTAGAAGCCACAAAATTAAGAATTGATTTGAATTGAATCACCTGAGACGAGACGAGATGTCATTCTACAAGTGTTGAAAAATAGAAATCTAAAAAAATAATATTGACATCACTTTTGTATTATGATTCTATGACATAATGATTAAAGGACTTGTGTAAAAGAGTTTTGACATTGCCGAAGTAAATTGTGCCCCACTGGCACTTCTGGAAGCCACTATACAAAACAATTGAATTAAGGTTTTTTAATCATCAAAATTCAAACCAGGATGTCTCATCTATTTGAATAGACGGTTCAAAACTAAAACTAGCTTTCCTGAATGTATCAGACATCATTTTAGAAAATATAATTGTTATTTTAATGTAAATTGATTGCACTAAAATAATACTTTCTTAGATTCGATTAGATTCTTTTAGAATTTTTTCGCGGATTCATTTTGATTTCAGGTTCCTGACGTTTCGAATGCTTTACAGCAATCATGGTCACGGAAGCGATAAAGTTATTATAAAGAATTCGAAACGTCGAGAACCAAAACTCAAAATTAATCCGCGAAAAAATCCGAAAAGATAGTTTTATGATGTCGAATATTCGCGGAGATATAAGAAAGTATTGTAGAAAGAATTGTTGATTAATAGTAATTAACAGTGAATTTGTCAATATACTTACATACATATATTAACGTAGATATGTGCGGTACATATTCATAGTATTGTAGCATGTACTAGACACAAATTAATCCCAGTGGTCGGAAGATAGCGGAAATTGCTCTTGATATGCATTATGCTGTTTGCATTAGCAAATTTGAATTTAATGTATTATTCATATATATTACCTATTTATAATAAACATATGATGGGTTCAATATAGTTTGTATTCAATATATTAAATGAAATAATGGTTTGAAACGCCTAAGAGTGTTGAAGGCAAATCTAAAATTTGGATTTGTCACGAGTATTAACAAAGCTTACTTTGTTAATAACAATTGCAAATTATAGACTGTTAACAGTAATTCAGATTAATATGTTTTATCTATAAAGGCAGCAATAGTATTGCTTAATATTTTAACTTTTTAAATTACATATAAAACAACAATATTGCTTAAATAATAGTTAATATTTTTAATTTTCTTTGTGGTTATACATATTATAATAATAGCAACACTAAATAATATTATTAATTAATATTTTTTTCTTAGTTGTAATATTCATAATGATAACAGGGAAAATTAAATAAATAATATTGCTATATTTAATTATAATATTTATAAAAAAAATTAAAATGTTTAGAATTAAAAATAACAAATATTGTAAGGTACTTTGGTGCCATTTTTGTATTTTTCGAAATCATTTTGTAAGATTGTGGGTAGGCACTGTCTGTTACAACTATATAACCTTTAAGACATCTAAAACCTTAGTCTCTCAGTGACCATAATTGCTGTAAAGCATTCGAAACATCGGCAACCAAAAATCTATTTAAAATGGAAAAAAAATATTTTTAATATCAAATATTTCCGTAAATCCAAGAAAGTATTGTAAGAACAGGTTGATTATTTAATATATAAATTTATTTTATCCAATTTTATTCAAATTAACTGATAATATGGTATTGGATAAATTGAATTTCCGGACGAACAATTTCCTTTGGGACAATTCCCTCAAATCAACTCAAATGAATTACTTTACATTGTAAATTCTCGTTTACTGCAAATATGAAAATTTATGTATTTACCAGCAAATTTTACATGTTTTATGATCATGTTGCTGGCACGCGTGCAGAACTGAATGAAACTGCAAAGTATTTGAAACTTTCAAAGCCTTAACGATCTACTTCTGTGTGATACTTAGAAGTAAGGAACTAAAAATTATATTTATCAGTGTTTAAAAATAAATTTTAATGTATTATACGTGTTGTCAACACTAAAGTTAAGTATATAAATATTATTTATGTTTTTTTTATTATTTATAATTAATTAATTATTTATATCAGATAATTTATTTCAATTAATTTTTAGTAGTTAACAAATATATACTATTTTTCGCCAGTTGGTCCAAAATATAATATTTTTAATTAAAGCATTTAGTCTGTTTAGCTTTTAGTCTGGACTAGTAGTAGACTGTAGTCTTAGTGTTGGTATATATAAACAGACAAAGACAAAAAAGTTTTTTCTCCATTGTTTGGTAACCAAATTGTTGTTTAGTATGTAGTTAGGTGAACGGATTTGGTTCGCAATTTCGTGGGTTTTCATTTTTTTGCGCGGAACTCCGGAATCCGGAATCCTTTTTCTTGAGTAAAAGTAGCGTAAGTTACTCCGAAAACATCAGTTGTCCTCTAATGAAAATCCTGTCAAAATCGGTCTAGCCGTTTCCGAGATTACCCGAAACAAGCAGACGTACAGACAAAAAAAAATATTTTTTTTTATTATAAGTGCCGTATATACTTTCATATGACATTACAAACAGCCATTTGAATTTTATTTATCTGTATAGATAGATACAGAATTAGTGCTACCATGCTACAAAATTATAAACACAAAAGGTACCTGGGAGGACACCCGAGCGATGCGAAATGAGTAACCTATAATTTATACAAGTATGCAATATCACTTCCCAAAATGTGATACAAATATATATAAATATTTATTAAATTTTACAGCAGGCTGTATTAGAACATGAATATAAAAAAAATAAGTAAGGAAATATAAAGTTTCGTCCCATATTTTCAAACATAAAACCACCAAAGATATTTACATTTAAAGATAAAAAAATTGATATTAATTTATAATGAAAATATTAGAAAACAAGCGAGGGTGGAATGGGAGAATCCGTCTCCACGCCGTTAGTTGTGGCTTTGAGTCCCATTTAACACAACCACTTGTATTTATTATTATATGTATTAACAAACTACTTTTATGTTATTATTATTAATTTATTATAACGGTAATATTATTATTATTTGTTACAGAGAAATGTGTGCATAATGTGAGTACGGTTCAATTACGGCGATCTGACAGGCGAGTGTTGGAAAGGGCACGACGTCGCACCCTACGCATGACCGTTATTATAGTTACGGTGTTCGCGCTCTGCTGGCTACCCTACGCCACCATGACCATGTGGTAAGACTCATCTGTATATAAAAATTAGGTTTGGACTAAATCATCTACTTCCAGACCAAATAACTATCAAAGGGCAAAATTTTTCACAAACTTCTCTTATGTGATACACGAAACCACTAAGGGACGATATTTTGAAATTCAACCCCTAAAACATTGGAACGTGGGTTAAAATAATTTTTAAAAGAAATGATACTTTTCGCGTGTCAAATTAAAAATAACACGCCAGGCGTGCCGCCAGCACTAGTACTATATTTAACAAAAAAAATTGAAATAGTCAAGCTTGTACTTTAAATATATAGTTGAAAAATGATTTCTGTGTTGTAATAAAACCCAAATTATCAGTTTTAGCTAAATTATCTCTTTTTTATATCAGTTTGCTTAATTTCGCAATGCTCGAACACATAGGTAGATGTTTCATTGTCACTTTTGTTAAACGAAGAATAGTTTTAATTAAAAGCATTATGTAATAAGTTTTTTTTATTATTGGTAAATAGAATGCACAGGAACCCATTTTCATTACCCTTAAAAAGCTTTTTGAGACTCATCTCTCATGACAAATAATTGATATGCCAGGATAAACGGCCCATAAATTATTATAGCTATGCTATAAATACATTGCGTAGATAGATCTGTTATCTTGTTGCATAAAAAAGTGTGTCTGTGTGCAATTCACACATGGTAGAAGTAAGACTTAATATTATATATTTGTCAGACAATAACAACGGTTACCATGGTAATTGGCAACATGGCAATGTACCTGTCCTATCTCATTCTCTCCTATATATTAATGTGTTTGTCTCTTTTTAGTGTCACATTTCGATTTCATTTCAGTTTCATCGAGTTTCAAATCACAATGATTATAAAGAAATTTCACTTCAATAATAATTGTTTTACAATATTTCTGTAACTTGAATAAGTTTTAAAAGTTATCGAATAATAAATTAAAAATTAAAAAACATCCCCCCAACGCAAATTAATTGTCATTTAACGATTACACTGGCACGCGTGAAGCACTTATCGAGTAATTATACGTCAAAACGGATAAAATCATTTTGGAAAAGAGCAGATACTCTTATTCTACTGGACCGATATTAATCAAACATAACTAAGGACCACCGCAACAAAATGGCTTTCAAATGAAAAAAAAAACTACATCGAAAACGGTCCATCCGTTTGAGAGCTACGATGCCACAGACAGACACACACACACACAGAGACAGACATCGACGCTAAACTTATATACCAGGGGGTATATAAGTTTGCGTCGGGGGTTAAAAAAGGTAGTGCAGTAAAAATAAGAAAATAATACCTAGTATTTAAAATAATAATAATTAGATAAGCAATCATTTATCTCAAAGTAAAAATTCTTAGACGGAAATAAAAAAAATACTACTGAAGCAAAGTATCTTACTAATTTCATGATTTGTTCAAATAAGGTTCAAATTGTTTTAATAATTAAAATGGTTAGCTAAAGCGCTTTTACATAATTCCTTGAAGATACGAGTTTATTCTGGATAATAGGTTCAAATATTGCTCATACTATGTAAATATGTATATATACATTTTAATTTATGTACAAAGTAGGTAGTAAGGTGGTGGATAATTCAAACAACTCTCAGTGGAAGGTTTGAGCGTTCATATTGAGGTCTGGTTCGGTGATTACAGGTTCGATTTCTTATACAATCTAATATATTTGCATCGGAGACTTTATACATTTACTTATCAATATAGAGGAATGGAGGATTCAATAATCAATAGTTTTTAATTAAGATGATATAGAACCGACTACGGCGAGGAATTTTTACTGTGGGAAGTCCAAAAAGACGAATGGAAGATTCTATTTCTGTGCATTTTATATGAAAATGAGTCCTATCTGCTTCGTTTTTTTTTTGTTTAAACAAGTATTTTTATCTCCACGAGCGTATGCTCGATACAAAGGTATAGGTATTTGTATCGAAGACTTATTTTGGTCAATAAAACACAACTGAATGATTAAATCTCTTAGTCTACCTCGAGTAAAATAATAAATTGTTAGTCTAGTGGCCCGCATGTATGGCTATTGATAAAATGTATCCCTAAATTCATGTGTCAGATCCAAAAATAGAACCTGTAGCATCCTGGAATTGGATTTAGGCGATAAATATGTACCCATCTGCCTCAAATAGAAATTGATATACGAATTGAATTGAAGCACTATATTTTCTACTCAATAAAGAGAGTATCTATTATATAATAAAAATACATATGTATGTATGTAAATCTTATCTGTTAAGGTCTATAGGAGAATATTTGGTACTCACCATTTAATTTTAAGTTTTAGAATATTCGTTTAATAATAACATACCTTTAATATTCTTATTTTACCGACCAATTTCCTTCGTGTCTTCTGCATTCTACAAATTCTCCATTCTATTAGCGAAGCAATTTGTGCTCAACTGGCATCCATTAAACCATTAGCAAAAAAATTGAAATGAAAAAATAAAAATAGAATTGAATTGAACATATGCCTAATTTAAGAATATTTTATAAAAGGTACATGGTAGATCGAGATTCAGCATCCCGGATATCACCTCAAGTCCAAGATTTGTTATTTGCGATGGCAGTCTCCAATTCTTGTATGAACCCACTAGTATACGGATCATATGCACTGCGCCTAAGTGGTATGATTCAGAAGATTTTCAAGAGCTCCTGCTGTTGGTCTAATGCTGCTTCAGATAGTGCTGGTAAGGTTGCTTTTTATATTTCTACCTTACCTTTAATTTGCAGCATTTTTACGGTACTTACAAAAATCATGCGAATGTATTACTATTTGGTCTCTAATCAATAAACATAATCCGCCATATATACACTGATGACATAATACTGTACTAGTACAGATGTCAAATATTCCATTTTATGTAAAAAATTGGACGCAACTCAACTCAACTCGGGGTTTTATTCGAGCTGTTTTGTTTGTGCTCTTGTATCCCAATGATAATGTAATTAAAAAAATATTAATTATTTAAATTATATAAATAATTGATAAATAATTCATATTTTTTAATTCTTAATATTCTTTATGGTTATACATAATATAATAATAGCAACACTAAATAATATTAGTAATTAATAAAGTTTTTAAAAATATTAATATTTATAATAATAGCACCTAAAGTTAAATAATTAATATTGCTATATTTAATTATAATGCTTATTAATGATTTTTTCAATGTTTCGAAATAAAAATCAGCAAATATTGTAAGGTACTTTGGTGCCATTTTTGAATTTTTAATCATTTTTGTAAAATAGTGGGTAGGCACTGTCTGTAACAAGTATATGTGTTTGAGACGTCTATAACCTTAGTCTCTCCCGTGACCATGATTGCTGTAAAGCATTCGAAACGTCGGAAACCAAAAATCAAAATAAATCCGCGAAATAATCCGAAAAGATAGTTTCTTTGGATTTTGGATTTGGATTAGCTCTATGTTTAGCTACCGCTTGGACATGATTCCACGAGATTCCAGCCTTTTAAAAATCGGACGAACCTCCTCCAGTTCTTTTTCGACCAGTACCGGCTGCTATTGGAACGCCACTTATGCACTGCTCAGCATTCCCTATCGTACGTTAAAATCGGCATACATGGTCATTGAGAGCTGGACGGAAATAAGTGTAAAATTTCGATGGTCACTTTTTATGATATACTAAGACGTCGTGTGATATCATCATAAGTACGGAATGTCTATAGTAAAAAACTCTCACTAGTAATAAAATAAAGTAAACAGATCATCTTAAGCGCGATTTTCACAACAAGATTTCCTTGCAGTCCAAGAAACCCTTGATAAGTTCTTGTGAAAATCATACGAAGAAAGTTTAAAACTACGTACAAACATGTAGGTACATGTTATATTTGAGTTTGATATTTGTGAACTTGTTGAGGACTAACTTGTTTTGTTGAGGACTAATAATTAAATATTATCTTACAAACTTCAACTTCAAAAAGGAAAAGGATTCTGTTAAATAGATTCTTTTTTATGTATGTTGCATATACATATTTTCGGCTATCGTGAACTGATTTAAGCCGGTTTTAAAAATTTAGGTAGTCAAAATAATTGCGTCTTGGGTCTAGTAACTTTTTTGTCAACAAAATTAACAGTCCGAATTTGGGAATTTGGCGATTGTGACAGATCTCTCACCGGACGTGTCAAATTGTCGCCCCAATGACGTTTAAAAGTAAAAAAATGGAGAATGCACTTGTTAGTTGTTTATATACTTTGCACTATCATATCTCCAGAGCACATGGCTAGTCGCATTGAGAAATGCTACCGCGGTGGTAACCGTCCAGAATGATAACATAATATTGTAAATTATAAAAAAAAATCAACCAAACGTCACCAACCGTTTTTTTTAATTTTTGAGACTAATGATTTATGTATGTGCACATCATTTGAGGATGGGTTTAGGTATGTTAATATGTATTTTCATTAGATAAGTAAAGTATCAGTAAGTTTTAATTTAATAGCTATGGCTATGCAGGCGCTAGTAGTCTCGGTGGTCTAGTGGCTAGCATGTACAGCAGTAGATCCAAAGGTCCTGGGTCAAATTCGAAGTCAGGCCAAATTGTAATTATTGTGTTTTACTTTTCTCAGAAACGGCTTGGAGTTGAGAATTAGCTGGTGTTCTACTATATTTCACTATTCCTCAAAGAGCACGTTAAACCGTTGGGCCTGTGTCTGATCTCTCAACATAACAAGAAAGAGATCTTGCCAGTTCATACTGTATATGCACTTGATAGGCAATATAAATATATACAAATCAAATCATAGTAAGATTTAACAGATTAACAGAAATCAGGCAGGAAATAATTTATAAACATACTAGCGACTCACGCTCGCTTTGCTCTCGTGGAAGCTTGATACCCCATACAAACTTTTATCCGAATTTTTACCCCCTTAAGGGATGATTTCCGGGATAAAAAGTATCCTATGTCCTTTCCAGGGTCTCAAACTATTTTCTTACCAAATTTCATCTAAGTCGGTTCATTAGATCCAGAGAATACCCCCTACAACGTCACAAACTCACAATCTCACAAACTTTACCTCTTTATAATATTAGTATAGATTTAAAAATGGTGTTTGAAATTATAGACAAAACACATATATAGTATGCGTTTACTTACAAAACTTGTTATACATTATTATTTTTACAATTGTACAAAAAAATCTATTTCGTTTAGTTAAAATAAAATAGAAAATTTATTACTAAGAATCTGGCCAAACTATACTCTCTATCCAGTCGATGAAACTCGCCGTCTTAGTGTAGATACTGGGCACGTCAGGGCGTGCACAGCTGAAGCCAAATGACGTCACTCCTACCAAGTAGTACATGTCCCAAGATTGCGTCAAATTTATCTTAGATTGCAATGGACCACCCGAATCACCCTATAACAAACATTTTTTTTATTAAGCTTATGATTAGACTTGAAAATTGATTCATATATTATTTTCATTGATGAAAGTTGAAAAATTTAAAAGCGAAATCACATTCTTATAAAATATAGAGCAGAAAATAAAATAGTGTAAATGAGTGTAAAAACAACTAGGTAAAAAGATTTCAGTAGAAATTAGAAAAGAAACAACTTATATCCTAAATCTAACGAAACATAATCAATCTAACGAAACTGCTGTTAGTTTTTTAATTAAATATTATGTGTCATAATTAATCTGTCTGTGCAAAGCTTATTTTAAATAATAAGCTTAATTATATCTATAGGTACATATAATAAAATTGTAACCAAACCGAATCTGTGCATTAAATATTTTTTGGAAAATCTCATTGAAATAAACATTATTATTGATACACAGGTCGAATCTATGGTTTTTAGAATTTTTATCTTTATGTCTGTCTGTCCTTGTCTATTTGTCTGTTACCGCATCACAGAAAAACCATTAGAGGGATTTTGATGAAATTTGCTATAGTGATAGCTGGTTATCTGGGTTAAATATAGGATACTTTTTACCGGGCGCCAAAATGTCTCATTTCTGAGAAAAAATACAAAAACTGCAACGTAAGAGTATACTAATATGTAAAACCTAAGAATTTGGTTTTTGGTTATCTGAACGGGGGCAGGACCGCGGGCAATGCTAGTGTATAATAAACGCTCAAAAATTGTCACAAACTCTTAGATCTATATAAATGCGAAAGTTTGCGCTAGAAGGGATGAACAGATGAAATTTGGCACAAATAGATTCATAGAGTTTATTGCTACATATATAAAAATAGATTATAGTCTGGAATAGCACACAGGCATTATACCGCAAAAATGTACGGTTCCCGTGGGATAAATTTGATTTTGTTATTCACTAGAGATGAAAACCGCTAGTTTCAAATACACTTAGACATATACTTACACAAAATATCATTCTACAATCTTAGAAGAATAGAAATGTAAAAAAAATGTATTGAAATGACTTTAATCGTTGCTTCGTAGAATCATAATATCTCTATTATACGATTACTATTTTTCAACGATTATAACAATCTTTTCTAAGCTATTAAAAATAGTATTAAAATATTTACATGAAATATACGATATATATTTATTTCTCAACCATAATCATTTTGATTTTTTTTTTTATTGGTAACACTAACATCGTAGGTAATAAGCTCGTCAATAACCTTAAATTACCTACTAAACTAAAAGAAGAAAATCAGTTAATAAACTGTAGACACAAACGTATGGAACAGTTTTTTTTTCTTTACTTATTTATATATAGATTTAAAGGTTATACCTGGCAAGTATCGATGCCTCCAGCTAATTGGCCAGCGCAAATCTGATGATCGACGAGACCACCCCAATTTCTGTTATGCTTCTCATTCAACTTCGCATCGCAAAGACTATCGTCTATGACATCCACATCAGCCACTTGTAACTCTGTTGCAGCTTTACGGGTTACTGAAATATAAAAAATGCATGCAAAGAAAAATAAATTTACAAAAAATTTTATCACCTAAAATCTCAATTCAATACAAATCAAACTCGTGCAGTATTTGTTACGTATTTGCCAACAAAATATTACCTGATTTTGAGTAATGAACTATATTAAGTTTAATATTTTATCCACTTCCATACCAAAAAAAAACTGATATTAATCACAAAATTAGGGAAACGTGTAGAAGCTTGTGAAAAATCAATAGATACTTCATTGTACATCACAAAGAAATATACAAAAAGAAGATGTAAACAGTAGATGATACACAGCAGGCGGCCTTATCGCTATAAGCGATCTCTTCCAGGCAACCTTAGGGCATAGGAGAAATTATAAACACAATTGCATATCCTAAATACATACATACATATATACATAAATACAATGCATACATACATAAATGTAGATCAGATGAAAAAGTATAAAATAGTTCAATACATACACTATAGAGACAAATAATATGATTTTAACTGTAGCTTAAAATTATCTAAGCTTTTGGCACGCCTAAAATAAATTATATATATATATATACATACTAGCATTGCGCGCGGCTCCGCCCGCGTTCAGATGACCAAATACCAAACTCTTATGTTTTACATATTAATATACTCTTAGAATGCAGTTTTTGTATTTTTTCTCAGAAATAAGACATTTTCCCGCGATAAAAAGTATCCTATATGTTGACCCGGATAACCAGCTATCACCATACCAATGGTTTTTCTGTGATTCAGATATATTCAGATATATATATATATATATATATATATATATATATATATATATATATATACATATATATATAATAGTTAAATGTATTCCCTTTATAATAGCATAGCTATTTAATTTTACTTTTAATATTTCGTGGTTAATTCGTTCATGTTTCATACATACCTGTATCTACAACACCCCACCCAGTTACAGACAGCGTTACCATTCCCAAACTGCTAGTATCGCTGTTGCCCCAGAGGCAGGCGGGACGGATAAGAGGTCCGATATCCACCGACTCGGCCAGCTCAAGCAACGCGATGTCAAAGTAAACTTTCGGCGCTCGGTACTTCTCATGCTTTATTATTCTACTTATTCGCACATATTTAGGCTTTAAATGGTCTGGAATGTCCTGAAAAATTATATCAATAAATCTTATATTATGTTAGAGAACCTAATATAATTTTGAAACTCTGAACAATTAATATAGCAATATCAAGTATTATTGGATTTTAAAGTATTTGGTTTTTGGTATATAATTAAATTAGAAATTTTCTACACAGTTTTAATCAAATTTTTGTGCACAACTTAAATAGCTTAGCATCAGATTCTTAGGTTAATCAAATCTATAACTAAAAGCTTAGTAAAATTCAGAAATTGTAGTTATTGCTAATGATAAATTTAAATCGTTATAGAAATTTTTTATTTAGTTGTTGTTCTAAATAAGGGAAAATTGAAACAAAATATACTTATAATAAAACTTACGGCAAGTACGAGCATTCTGTTCTTTTCAATATCCGATACGATATCATTAAAGTTTTCATATTTTCGTCTTTCTTGCTCCTCAGGATAAGACTGTAAATTACAAAATTCTATTTTAAATCGCTATTTAATTTAACTATAATTTAAACTTAATATAAATCTATATATATCATAAAATTGTAACTAAGCTGAATCTGTACATTAAATATTTTTTGGAAAATCTTATTAAAATGGACATTATTATCGATATAGAGTCCGAATCTATAGTTTTTAGAATTTTTGTCTGTCTGTCTGTCTGTTACCGCATCACGAGAAAACCGCTGAACAGATTTTGATGAAATATGGTATGATGATAGCTGGTTATCCGGGTCAACATATAGGATACTTTTTAACGCGGGAAAATATCCCATTTCTGAGAAAAAATACAAAAACTGCATTGCAAGAGTATACTAATATGTAAAACCTAAGAATTTGGTTTTTGGTCATCTGAACGTGGGCGGGCAATGCTAGTCCCAAAATATAAAGTCATTCACGCGCCGTCTATAACGCTGGGTTTAAAAGTCTAATGCACAAGAGCTCCTTATTCATATAACGAAGATTAGCTCTAAAGAAAAAAAAATGAAAATTCCAGTCGAAAGAATTTTAGGTAATAGAGAATTAAATTTTCTACGAAAGTTTGTCATTTTCAAGGTTAAAAAATATGAAAAATGGATTGTAATGAGAGCAAAAGTTTGCGAGTCCGAGTTTTACTTTCATGCGTTGATAGTTTGTGAGTGAATGAGTGTGTTAAATGTTTTAACGGCTTTGAGTGAAGTTCAAAATGTAGGTATCCCGAACTAAATATTAGGCTAATTTCATGGATGTACCTAGTACTCAAAAGGAACTGCAAAACTAATTTTAAATAAAATATGTTGAAGACGACAGTCTCATTTGCATTCCAATGGCAGCGTGCCGGTATGTTAAATATGTTGAGGCATTAGCACACAGCATCACCTAGTTCCATGGTAAGCTACGAGGCTTGTGTTATAGATACCAGATAGTTGATACACTACGTATATGTAACTTTAAATACATACATATTATAAATATAAACACCCATGACTGGAGTACAAACATTCGTGCTCTACACACAAATGAATGCCCCCAGCGGGACTCGAACCCGCGACCGTTGGCACAGCAAATAGGGACACTACAATTCAGTCAAATGTGTCGTCTAGTGAACCCATCATAGAAGAGCATGGAAAGCTACTGCTGCAGCCCTAAGTTTCAAAACGGGGTAATAGTACAACATCACATGTCACATGTCATTTTATTCCTTCGCTGTTGTAGAAAACTAACATTAATTAGTTAAGTAATAAAAAATATTTACATTAATTAAAAATTTATCCCCCAATTTTACAATTTCTGGCTGATGATTAGCGACGGTGCCATATCTCGTCGACACATAGGTACAGTGCGCTGCTGTCAACATAAACCTCTCGCTGATCAGCGAAGCACCACATTTGAACTCCCACTCATTCTCTTTACTTGTGGATCTCCAGCCGAGAGCACCCTAAAATTAAACACTTTCATTATATCCGCAGCTCTACGCATTTTTCCCATCTCCTCACATAGTTTGGACTAACATAATTCGTTGGCTTACTATTACAAGGTTCTATGTTAATTTTGATGAAGTTTGGTAATTTTTACATAGAACTTCGATATTTTGTTATCGTAAAAAAACAACATAAAACTATTTAAAATTGAATATTTTGTAGCTATAATGCCGCTATCTAGTGGTTTGGTTTTGCAAAACTGCTAATGACACATAGAACCTTGCAGCATTAATAAATAAATATTAAAATTGTAACATAGAACCTTGTAATAGTGAGCCAACGATTAATCTATTTGAATTATTGATTATTTGTGTACTTAATTTTTGTTAGTTTGAATTTAGTATACGTTATTTTAGATGAAAAAATATCATTAAGACTTACTTTTATTATCCTTATATTTTCACTTACTAGGGTGTAGTGTGCTCAGCTTGCTTTTCGATATGCAATGAATATTTTACAGGTCAACCTCAACTCGTTTTTGCACACAGTATAAAGCCGGTCTACAGTCCAGCGATAGTAAAAGTATTAGTAGTATTTATGCATCCAAATGCATACATATAGGTTACTATGCAGGGCTCAAGAGCTAGAAATTCCAGGACTACTCACTAAAACCCAACGGCGATGCTCATATGATATACCGCCCACCGACGTAGGCCTTCACGCTAAGCTAGATTGCCGGCAATAAGGCAATCCAGCCCCCTCTACCCACTGGAGATAATGTACATAGAGGAAGGGGGTGTAGGTGCTAGGTATGATTAAAAAAATATAATAAACTATTATTTACCATATGCGGAAATTCTCCGTAAAAAGCAGGTCTTCCTCCTATTACGATTTCTTTAACTATAAACAGATAATAGTGTTATGCGATTGAAAGCTAGTAAACACTTTTTGAATAATTACTAAGTTAAACGAACTCTTCTTCAATCTGTGGAATTATAACATGAAAAATGAGATGAAAATTCAAGAAATTTTCTAATTGGCACAAACGTGATGAAATTTTTAGATGAAAATCCAAAGAAATAATCTAATGAGTAGACTCTCTTAGCCTAAGTATAAAACATAATGAACGACTTCTTTGCATAACTCATGTTTTTATGGATGTTTTTATGGATCTAGCACACTTGGGCAAGGCCCTCCCTTCAATACAAGGGGTCAGGCCCTAGTCCACTTCGCTGGCCAAGTGCGGGTTGACAGACTTCACATCTCTTGCGAAAACTTGCTAGGTTCTCTCAGACATGCAGGTCCCCTCACGAAGTTTTCCTTCACCGTAAGACAAGTGGTAATCATATTTGAAATGATTCGCACATGAAAATATCATAGATGCAAAACCGCGGGCTTGAACCCGCTTCCCTTGGTTTCTTCGTTACCACGGGGCTACCACGCCCTCATTATTGTTTTATACTCACTACATTCGCTGCGATCAAACTCAAATTGTTTATACCGCGTAGTCCAGATGTAATCAAGACATTCTAAAAAAAAGTAAAATGAAATTAATTACATAGAAACGTCGAAAAGAAAAATCTAAATGAAAGTAAAACCGCGAAGAACATCGAAAAAGATATTTTTTTGTAACATCCGTTTAAATTTAGGCGAATATTTGACGTAACGCTTATACATACATCTATACCATGAACGAATTGTGGTTAATTCGTTCATGATCTATACATATAATAAAATTGTAACTAAGTCGAATCTGTAGATTAGAATTTTTTTGGAAATATTATTGAAATAAACATTATTATCGATACAGAGATATTATTATCGATTTATAGTTTTTAGAAATTTTGTCTGTCTGTCTGTCTGTCAGTCTGTCTGTCTGTTACCGCATCACAGAAAAACCACTGGAGGGATTTTGATGAAATTTGGTATGGTGATAGGTGGTTATCCGGGTCAACATATAGGATACTTTTTTCCGCGGAAAAATGTCTTATTTTTGAGAAAAAATACAAAACTGCAATGTAAGAGTATACTAATATGTTTCTACATAGAATTTCGTGAGAATTTACTTTTTGGTCATCTAAACGCCGGCGGAGCCGCGGGCAATGCTAGTTATACAATAAAGCTAAAATGTTATTTGTTTATGCTTAGTACTTGAGCTATTTTAAATATTCACAATAATTGCTCATTTAATATTATAAAATTATGGGAACATTGCAGCAAAGTGAAGTGAGAGTGTAAGTAAACTTAGTGGTCTCATATTTGCAAAAACATTAACACAACTATAGTGTAAGTGACCCGGCTTTACTTCCAGCCTCGGAACCCTACTTCTTAACACTATAAGATTAATGCTATATTATTATGCCTGTTTGTAATGTTAAAATAATAACTTTTTACTAAATACATATGGAATTATATACGGTATTTATAACAAAAACACATTTATTAAAAATGTTGTCTGTTTGTTCCGGTTAATCTCTGAAACGGCTGGGCCAATTTTGACGGGACTTTCACTGGCAGGTAGTTGATGTTTAAAGGAGTAACATAGGCTTCTTTTATTTCAGTAAAAAAAATGTACTCTAGCTTACCCTATAAATACTTACTGACTTCACTGATTCTCCGTTTAGGTGACGTAAAATCGCCTTTTTTGTAATTGTCTTCGTCACAATAGTCATCGATGTTGATTTTAAAATTAAGTACATCTTCAATACTGGCACCATTAAATATGCTTCTTTCCTATAAAAATAAAACATAAAATAAGGATAAATGAGCTTGAAGAGTATGTTTGTTTTTACCTTAGCACTTAATTACTGTACTTTTTGCGTTAATAAAATTTCAACACACTTTTTTCAGAAGATGGATTTGAAAATGTGCTAAAACATTAGATAATGAGAAATTCTACGTAAATTCTGTTTAAAATGAAAAGTTTTTAATTTTTCATGTATATTTGCATGATTTTCCCCAAAAAAATCTATATTAACACAAGTTAAAATCTAAAATAATATAAATATAAGTATATCATAGAATCAAAATTCACGCTTTATACAAATAAAGCGTGAGTTTTGATATACGCGTACTTTTATGTGCAATTATTGGTCCTAAAGCCGCATTGACACGATCACAGTCTGCTCTGACAAAAGGCTTTGAAACGAAGTTTACTATAAGAAACACGGCTCCAAGTCCACTTAAATTGAACGCCGACGTCAAAGTGCGCTTTGCTAGCTCGTTTACACGATCAAAGTTGCGTCAAAATAGTCATCAAAACTACTTTGTCAAAGTAGACTTTGATCGTGTCAACGAGATTTAAAGATCGTTACGTGATATTAGATAGCCTTACAAAATAAATGCATAATAATATTTATAAATGTAAAAGTAACTATATCTATTTTCTATAATCGCTGAATAGATTTCGATAAAATTTGGCAACGATATAGATTGCATCCTGGGGACGGACATAGCTAACTTTGAACTATTCCCACTTACTTAGCGAGTGAACCTGAAGGCAAAAACTAGTCTATACATATAATAAAATTCTAACCAAGTCGAATCTATAACACTTTATAGCCACTGCATTTTATAGCCTGCTAGCGACAACGTATATGTTGATCCGGATAACCAGCTATTATCATACCACATCAAAATACGTCCAGTGGTTTTCTCGTGATGCGTTCACAGACAGACAAACAGACAAAAATTCTAAAAACTATAGATTCGTCCTCTGTATCGATAATAATGACTAAATTTCAATAAGATTTTCCAAATAATAATTAAAGTATAGATTCGACTCAAGAGTTAGAATTTTATTATATGTATAGATAGATAGGTATGTATAGATGTCAAATATTCGTGTAAATCTAAGAATCTTACATTTCCTGCTTTTTGTGTATCACTGGCACCGTACACTCCCAAGTCTAAAAAAAGTATAAAATTTAGAGGTTTATATTTATCTGGAATAAGTATTTGATAATCTATTTAACCGATTTCAATGTTTAATTTTGAAGAGAAACAATGGACGTGACAATTTGTATAGAAGAAAAAATCTATATCTAACCTCGATATTTTTTTTTATTTTTAGTTTATTTTGAAGCAAATAAGTTTAAGTTTTAAATCAAAGTTATAACAAAACATTGAAGTGTGAATAATCATAATGATTGTGTTAGAGTTAAAGAAGAATATTTGAGAGAATAATCTATACCTACTCATATTACGAGTATAAAGAGGTATAAAGTTTGTGAGTTTGTGACGTAGTAGGGGGTAATCTCTGGATCTACTGAACCGATTTAAATAGAAGAAGATAATTCGAGACCCGAGCTTTTAATAACGCTTACTTTTACATATAAGTAAATTTCAAATAAATTTGATCTAAAACTTTTGTAACATTAATTTTTATTTAAAATATATGATCAAAATGATAATTTAAAAAGTTTTTGAATAAAATATCTATATATCACTTACATAGTACGTAGGAAAACAGAAAAAATTCTTTTCTGCAAAGCATTTTCGTTGAACTTTTTATTACTGCCACCTTTGTGCAGCCACGTAGTTTAATTATACTCTGTAATAGACACAAAAAAACTATAAAATATTAATTTAGCAACCAAAAAGATTACACAGCATTTCCTTTGAATAATAATAATTATTAGTGTATATTTTATAAAATATTGTATGCAAATTATAATAAATATTTAATAAATATTTTGTAATTTGTACGTTTATAAATTATTGCAAGTCTAGTTTTATACAAAATATTTTGAATTTTGAATTATTTATTATTTCACTTTAGTGAAATAATAAATAATTACATGCATCACATGGTGAAGCTTTGCATGAATCGCTTTTGTCTATAGAACAATAATAGAAATAAGCTTTAAAATAAGCTTATTTTATGTTTACGCTTATTACCTTTTCCTATTTTTTATTAGAAAATTCACCTTATTTGGAAAATGCTTGCAGTTCTAAATATAGAGCCCTCTTACGTTAGGTACGCACTACCTCGGCTTACTTATACGACTTCGTCTGGAATCTCACTCAGTACAAGACGGGTTAAAAATTAAGAAATTATCATTATTACAAATACGAATATAATGAAAGTGTTTTAATTGATTCAAGATATTATAAAACATGATTTTGACAATAATAGTGTAGCCATTTCAATCACTTTTGTTGATTTTGTCATCACCGAGGATGTGCAAGACCGACAACTTTACATTCTCTCCGAGGCATAGTATGTAAGATGATGATTACAAAAGTTGTTTACCTTCATCCTGTCTGTCTCGCTGTATAAATATCTTTATAAATAGTTAGGTATTAGCCAGTGTTAGCCATGTAAATATTTTTTTTTGTAAATTTTACGATGTTCTTATAATTATTCTGCTATTCGGGGCAGAGACAGAACCAAAAAATCAAAGATCATCAAAATCGGTCCAGCCATTCTCGAGTTATAAATGTTGTAACAAACCCGACTTTGTTTTATATACTTATATATTATATTTAAGATATAGATGCTCTCTTGAACTTTATCGAATATACCTACACGATTTTTCACAATATGCGTAGTTAATTTTAAAGGATTAGCCCAGAGATTTTCTCCACAATTGATTTTATTTCTTTAGAAATGATATGTGTTATTAAAAAATTGGGGAGGTTTTGCATAAAAGAAAATTAAACAAGTATCACCGCTCAGATGCCGATTCAGCAACTCAATATCTTACATATACATACGTACTTGTTGCATACCAAAGCAATAGATCCAACCAGTTTTTTCAGTATAGTACGTAGACCGAAAATTTCTTAAACAAGATATTAACAGATAAACGATAATCGTAATGCTTTTCAGTAATGTGCTAATATCAAGTATACCTTCAGTATTCAATTCCAAAATTCCTTTAGAAATGCTTGCCATTATTCAATAGAAATGTTTCAATTTGAAACCTAATTGCTAAATGGTGTTTACTTTTAGGTCAATAAACCTACAATCTACGTATTTACTAGCGGCTCACCCTCGGGTTCGTTCCTAGTAAAAAACAAAACAAATCTATCCCATGGGAACCGTACATTTTTCCGCTATCAATGTCTATGTGCTAAACCAAACTATAATCTATCTCCATGCCAAATTTCATCCAGATCCGTTTATCCGTTCTGGCGTGGTTGATAGCAAATATCCATCCGTCCAAATTTTCGCATTTACGAGTAGGTATACGAGTATAGTAGTAAAATATAAATAGACAAAAACCAAACACAGTGCCACTCCTTGGAAACAGTTTTTTTTTTAATATAAATATAATATCGGTATGGCTGAATTTCGACTACTGGGCGAACAGTGGCTTAAATAATTTGTCGAGATTTAATTCTAAATTTGTTATTCCTAACGTTTCGAATGCTATTCTGCAAATGTAGTAACTAAAGAGATAGTGGATTTTTGACGTCTCAAAAGTCTTGACATACAGACGATGTCTACTCATAAAATTATACATTAAATTAGAAGAAAAAAAGTGGTACCGATGTGGTTACAATTTTTTCGTTTTTTTCTTTTTTTTAATTTGAATAGTTTTTAAATAATTAATAAAAATAAACCACGAAAAAATTCCGTAAATGTTTATATTGAACAGATGCAAAGAAACACCTTGTACTCACTATTCTGAGCATTCCCATGTAATACGATCATGTTTATTGATAAGAATTAAATAAAACAAACGCGTGCGCATCCGCAGGCGGCCACTAGTGTTTTCTGATTTTTTACTTTTCTTTCAGCCAATTCGAGATCAACCTCATTAAAACATAGAAACCACATCCATGGTGCTTGTTTAGCGAAACCAGTCAAGGTAAGGCAAAAAGAGTTTTTTTTACATTATTTATTACCGTTTCATATGAGTATAGGCAGTAGTAGCCCAGTGGTAACGCGCTCGCTTGGGAAACCGTGTGAAGCGGGTTCAAATCCCGGGTCTCGCACCTCTGATATTTTCACGTGCGAATCATTTCTAACACGATTACCACTAGCCTTACGGTGAAGGAAAACATCGTGAGGAAACCTACATGTCTGAGAGAACCTAGCAAATTTCCGAAAGACATGTGAAGTCCGCCAATCTGCACTTGACCAGCATGGTGGACTATGGCCTGATCCCCCTCGTACTGAAGGGAGAGCCACACCCAGCAGTGGGACGTTAAAAAGGGCTGAATACAACATATGAGTATAACTATTTAAAGTTGCTTTAAAGCTACTTACATCGAGTATTTTAATGATATTTAACCTAATAGAATTGTTAGCAATATTTACATATCAACAATTACAAATTTAATTCAATCAAATAATCAAAACAAAAATAATAGCGTAATTTTTTTTAATTTACTTTTATTATCTTATTTGGGAAAGGTAATATTTTCAAATGGACTTAAATATCACGTGTTACTTTTTACTTAAAAAAAGCTAATACATATGAAAGAAACTCATTGAGATTTTTCGCAGAAATATCCTTGTTTTCTAGGCTAGCAAACCTATGTACTATCGAAAGCATTTTTTTATCAAAATATAATTTTTCAGTTTCATTTAAAAGAAACCTCAAGGACTTTAGAATATTCATACTAATTATTGTTGTCAGAACGGTCGAGTGAGGCCTCGTTTGGGGGTGAGATTCGCAGAAACATCCCTTACAGCCGTGCCCGAGCGATTGGAGCTTCCCAAGCCGCGCGGGCCCGCCTGACAGCCACCCGCGCGGCTACACTGCGCGCGACACGAGAGATGCCGGGTGCTACACGAGTATTATAAAATTCGATCAACTGCGGTATAGATATAATGAATGTTAAATAAAAAAATACAAAAATATATGTTTTCTATGTGATTTGTACATTAAATATAAAATTGTCGGTATTTCTAAAGATATGAGCTGTTAATTGTTAGTGAACATTATTTGTTTTTTGTATAACTTTAGATTCTTTCAAAACATATTCTCATTAAAATAATAAAAATGAGTTAGTTCTGAAAATATTTTTGAGCTGACGTTAATAAGTTAGGCTAAAGTGACTACTGAATAAAACAGATAATTTTTAATAGAGTGTTGCCTATTAAAATATAAACTATAACGAATTGTCATGGGAGTGGAAAAACTAAATTAAAGTTGTTCAAATACCTAGTTATGTATACTATCTAAATCTGAAATAGCTGATATATGCCAAAAAAAATGTACACAACACTAGCGTTTTCCTGCGGCTCTATTTCGATTATGTACGAGTATTACTATATCTTTGAAAATCTCTATTTTACCTTAATAATTAGGCTATAAAACAGTTGACATGTCAAATATAATTAAGCCCACAAAAGTGAATTTTTCGGGCTTAAAGTATTCTTTTAAAAGAAGAATAATTAACATCTATTAACATTTGGCATGCACATCGTTTAACATACACTAAGAAATAATTTTTGATGTCCAAAGCGATCTTCTTAGAAGTCGGTTGAAAAGGTCTGTTAGTCCTTAAGTCCACCAGATTTCACTCACGTGGCCTGAACTACACAAATTTAATAAATAATTATTAATAAAATTTACTTAAAAATATAAAACATAACTTTGATTCGTTATAAATACCCGAATAAGCAACTTTAACAATTATTTATTATTGAACCTATCTTCTTTCAAGTGCTGTCAAAAAATTTTTTCAAAACAACCTAAATGAAAATATGCATGCATATTATGTTCAAAAACACAATTATTACATTATACTTAATAAATTAAATTATAAAAAATATCATCTTATAAAAAATACTAGCTACTCACCCTCGTGTCAGGTTGATTCCCCATACAAACTATCATCCCCATTTTCACCCCCTTAAGAGATGATTTCCGGGATAAAAAATATCCTATGTCCTTCGCAAGGCCTCAAACTATCTTCTTACCAAATTTCATCTAAATCAGCTCAGTAGATCCAGAGATTACCTCCAACAACCTCACAAACTCAAAACTTTACCTCTTTATAATATCAGTATAGATTTGCGACGATTTCGCGTAAATCCACAAAAAAATATAAGCAAATTGAGCACTCCCTCATTTAAAAACGTACATTTACATAATTTAACATAAGAATATGTAATAGAAAAATTACCTTTATTAAAGCGTCTTGACTCTCGATGTTACTGGCATTGGTGGTAATGGATCTGTGAAGCAAGTTCTATCGCGAAACAAATCAACCTTGTAATCTTGGTTATCGATTATGTTCATAATACTGGATTCAAAACCGGTTCTGCTAAAACGATGCTGCATATGTCGTTAATTAAAACGAAACGCTTCATATACAATCATATAAAATTTCGTGTAATTCGGCAATTTAACGATTTGGATAAAATTTTGTATTTAGAAAATGTTTTATTTTTTGAGTTGATCTATATAGGTGTCTTGTCTGAAAATCCCATTGTTTATACCTTTTCCCAAAAACCGCCGAGTAAAACTCAGTCGCCCAGACATAAATTATGTAAGCAAGCCTCAGGCAAACCTTACTGAATATTATAATACTAGAGAGATTGTTATTTTTGTTTTATTTGAATGTGCTGATCTTTGATATCACCAAACTGATTTAAAATAAGAATCCCATTTCAAAGGCTATTTAGAATCATAATGGAACTAAATTGTCAGTCATTTTGGATAATAACCCGTAAAGATGAGATGAGAAATTGTACTGAAATCTGTCTATCTCCTTCCACTCGCTGAACTTTCCAAAAAAATTCTTTATCGCCTTCTGGTTAATGTCTCAAACATTTGGTAGGTACCTAAAACAATTCTAAGTTATACAAATACTTGGTCCCTATTATAGATTTATCAAAAATCAATTTCTTAAATTATTAAATTTAAAAAAGAAATACAAAAAGCAAATGAATGTGTTTTATCTACCTTAATATTAGTGTTATTGCACTGCAGTGAATTATTTTAGAATTCTGCAACAACATGATATGTTATTTACTATATGTTTTACGTCAAAACTTGTACTTATGACTCTAAATGTTATGAATTATGTGATGAAATATATTGGTATTCAATTATTTGTTGTAGTTTTGACTGATTTTCCTAATCTATACATATCCATACTAATATTATAACGAGGTAAAGTTTGTGAGTTTGTGACGTTGTAGGGGTAATCTCTGGATCTACTGAACCGATTTAGATGAAATTTGGTAAGAAAATAGTTTGAGACCCTGGGAAGGATAAAGGATACTTTTTATCCCGAAAATCATCCTTTAAGGGGGTGAAATGGGGATGAACGTTTGAATGGGGAATCAACATAGGGACGAGACCGAGCGAAGCGAGGGTGAATCGCTAGTCTATACATATCTATACTTATTATAAAAATAAGTCCCCCGGCCGCGTCTTTCTGTCCTCCTGTCTGTCCTCCTGTCTGTCTGTACGCGATAAACTCGAAAACTACTGAACGGATTTTTATACGGTTTTCAACAATAGAAAGAGTAATTCTTGAGGAAGGTTTAGGTATATAATTTATTATGCTTTTATGTAAATTAGCTGAAATACGGCGACAAATGTTGAAGAAGTCGCAAAAAATCTCGCCAAATGGGAACTTTCCACGCGAACGCCGCGTAAACTAGCAAAGATACAGTTAAGTAATGTACTAGAGAATTCAAAATCTATAAAAATGCTACAAAAAAGTCCGCGATAGCATATCTCTATCTCTTACGGTTGACTTACAATAACCACTTTTATGTTAACATTTTTAATTAAAAACATTACGTTATTTTCAAAGTTATTTTCTTTAGTTCGGTATTAATCCTTATCCAAATGAATATTTTAGTTAGCTTAGTCATTTAATGCAGATTAAAATTGCTCTTTACACTAAATCAATCAGATGAATAGTTTTTGAGATATCGTTGTTAGAAGTAATTAGTAGCGAAACATTTTTAATGCTTGGCGAGCATTGAGATGCCTACGGCGAGTCCATCCCCTCTGCCCCGCATCGCTCGACCGCCTGCTCAAGCTATATAAACCGGGCGATGTAGCGCGCGATCCTAGGATACTTTTTACCGCGGGAAAATATCTTATTTCTGAGGAAAAATACAAAAACTGCAATGTAAGAGTATACTAATATGTAACACCTAAGAATTTAGTTTTTGGTCATCTGAACGCGGGCGGAGCCGCGGGCAATGCTAGTAATTAATAAAATTTTAAGTGAGCCGAATCTGTATATTAAATATTTTTTGGAAAATGTTATTGAAATAGTCATTTTTTAGTATTTTTGTCTGTCTGTCTGCTTGTCTGTCGGAGAATACATCACGATAACCATTGGACAGATTTTGATGAAATTTGGTATGATATTCGCTGGTTATTCGATACTTTTTACTGCGGGAAAATATCTATATCAAAATATCAAATAAAATTGAAGTTCATATTGTTATTTGTATAGGTTTATTAAATGCGATCACTATCTCGATCGTCTATCGTCAATTTGGTTTTTGGTTCAAGTCCTGAATCGGGCCAAGTATAAATAAGAATAGTCATTAAGAATATATGGACATTAACACACAACACCATCTAGTTCCATGGTAAGCTACGAGGCTTGTGTTATGGATACCAGATAGTTGATACACTACACATATATAAATTTAAATACATACATATTATAAATATAAACACCCATGACTTTAGTACAAGCATTCGTGCTCATCACACAAATAAATGCCCCCAGCGGGACTCGAACCCGCGACCGCTGGCACAGCAAGCAGGACCACGACAAACTGAGCCAAACCAGTCGTCGGTGTCATATATATATGTGTTTTCTATCAAACTCAGCAAAAACCCAGAAAAAGTGAAGGAAAACATCGTGAGAAAACCTGCATGTCTCGGAGAACCAACAAGTTTACGACATGTGAAAGCCGCCATCTCGCACTTGGCCAGCGTGCTTGCCTGCACCGACTTCAAAAATATCTCATTAGGTATCTATTCTAAATGAAAACCCCCGTTTAGTTATTTTTTACATTTTTGTGAATGAAAGTTTTATTTTATTTTAATTATTTTTTATTTTATTATTTGTATTGTATTAATGAAGCAATTCTGCATACTTTCCAAACTGAAAATACGCTGTGGGCTATTTTTTCTATACGCATATTCCATTCTGGACTGGACATTTAGTCATGGAGGATTCCCGAATGCCCAAACTTTTTTGTTGTTTGTGTAATTTTTGTTTGAATTTGAACATTAAACATTCGTGTATTTGTCTGAAAAAATGAAGGTGAAAATATATTTTAAAAGTTACGTGGCTTTATGTAAAAAAATATATTTGATTTAAGCTGATTCTTCTAAGGGCGATATAAGAAAGTTTTTTTTCTTTTTAATTTTATATATATTTTTTTATAATTAAGCACTTTTTGTTCTGTATTTGACAACCACTCACTCAATATTTATTTATAAGACCTCGGTTACACGGGACTGGAATTAAATTCACACTATAGACCCTCGCTTGCTCAGATGCGTCCCTTGATACGTTTTACGTAACAAAACTAAGCGAAAGGTCCGATTAAAGTAATTTAAAGAGGAATTTACATGTTCATAATCAACCTCGATTATGAAACTATTTAATTGAATAAAGAATAATATCATGATACGAATGTCATCATCTTTCGCTTGTATTAGTCTATTCATTTGCAGACGATAATATTAGCAGGCCTGCCGAAGCAGACCACATCAACCATGGGGTAGTTCCCACGGCCCACTCTACTATCCTGTACCTATGCTACCAAAAAAATTAAGTTAGAAAATAAACAATGGAACCTTAACCGTCTTTAACGTACTTAAACCGTCGTATATATACATAGATATAATACTTTATTGTACCCCACAAAATAAATATACAAAAGCAGAAATAAACAAATAGATGATACACAGGAGACGATAGAGTAATGAGGTCTAGAAATGAAAAAGTTCTTGGTATTTTTCTTATTACGGAATTCTAATTTACTTGTGAAGATAATTTTAGCGGAACAATTTCTTCTATACATATAATAAAATTGTAACTAAGTCGAATCTGTACATTAATATTTTTTGGAAAATCTAATTGAAATAGACATTATTATCGATACAGAGTCCGAATCTATAGTTTTTACAATTTTTGTCTGTCTTTCTATCTGTCTGTCTGTCTGTTACCGCATAACGAGTAAACCACTGGACAGATTTTGATGAAATTTGGTATGATGATAACTGGTTATCCGGGTCGACATATACGATACTTTTAACCGCGGGAAAATATCTCATTTCTGAGAAAAAATACAAAAACTGCATTGTAAGAGTATACTAATATGTAAAACTTAAGAATTTGGTTTTTGGTCATCTAAAAGCGGGCGGAGCCGCGGGCAATACTAATCCTATGTATTTATGTGTTTGTCTCTTTTTAGTGTCGCATTTTCGTTTCATCGAGTATCAAATCGCAACAATTCTAAAGAAGTTTCACTTCAAAAAGTTAAAATGTCAAATATTCGCGTAAATCTAAGAAAGTATTATTTCTATTATTCATTTAATTTATTTACACCGAAGCACTTCGTTAAGGAACGACTTGAATTCACGATCAAAGTATTGAATCTTTGATTATGTTGATTTAGTATATTGAAAATACGTTCAAATTGTAGTGCAATACTTGTTTATATAGAATCTATGCAATACTTGCTTATATAGAATCTATGCTAAGTTTGAATAGTGTTTACTCAAGAATAGTGAAAATTGTTCAAAACATTTCCTTTAAAGAATAAACAGGCATAAATTAATTTGTATTATCAATACACTAATTACTACATTCTGTCAGTGTGTTTCATCCTTTTTAATTCCTACCATAGACGCGACAAGCGTGATTATTAACAAATGCTACAGCCTACGCACCTACAGCCTAAAGTACAGGTGGAATCACATGCGCACTATCGTAAATAGGTAAAAAAGGTTGGTTACGCTTAAAGAAACGCTACAATTCTTGTACTGTTACCTTAAGTTTACTGCCCTAATTATTCTGTGAGATAATACTTCTCGGTTGGTTGACTATGGTTGCAGTCACCGTTCACAAAAATGGGTGCTTTCCTGGACATGAAGATTAAATTCCACTATGACAACATGAGTGTAATCAGGGGGCTTAGCCATGTTGACTATCTACAATCGTTAACGATTTAGAAAACTAATGAAATGTATGGGCATTACGTATTTTGAACGATATGTCACGTGGTCAAAACGATCGAATTGAAAATTCGTAGCCAAGTTTACAAGGTACATAGTTCGTTCTAAAAATAGAAACGAACTGAGCGATTCTACAATGTGGATCACAAGATCTCATACAAAATGGTAGCCAAGTTGCACGTTTGACAAGCGCTTGAGAATTCAAATCTAAGTTCTTTAACGCTATCTAAACGAACGGCGAGACCCTTGAGTTAACGCTAAAAAAGTGGCGTCTATAACTTTAAAGTTTAGAATCAGCTCACAGCTGCTATAAGACAGAAGTGTTTTGTTAATTCGCGTTGATTTTAGACTATTTATATTTTCTTTTTAGCATTTAAAATGTATAAAATGTATACCTTAAATATGTTGCGGTCCGGTCATAACGAAGAAGTGTGGTTAAAACGCCGGCAAAGAGATTTATATCGTCAGTATATCGAAACAATACATGAAATGTCGGGCACTTTGTTTATACAACGATTTCGGTTAAGCAAAGTGACTTTCGAAGCCCTCGTTCAAGACCTACGACGGAAAACTTCTTTAAAAGGATCCAATGAGATTCCACTAGAAGTTAAGGTAAGATATGCCAAATATGTAATTCTGCTGTTTTAAGTACAAGAATAAATGTGCCTAGCCTACCATTTATTTTGTTTCATTACATGAGTTCATGAACACACGCACGCATGGTGTAACTTGCATAAGACTTTTGTTAAATGTACATGATGAAAATGTGATATTTTAATTCAATGTTAAA